CTCAGTCGGTGGGGAGGGACTCTGACGGTGGGGGGGCTCTGACAATCGCAGGGGGCTCTGACGGTGGGGGACTGTCAGTGGGGGGACTCAGTCAGTGGGGGGACTCTGACGGGGGTGCTCTGACAGGGCAGTCTGACAGTGGGGGGGGTCTTGACGGTGGTGGCGAGGGGGTGGGCACACCCATGCGTCTATGTCACTAACATGTGCACCATGATGCACACATCACAGCTCTGTTTTGTTTTTTGTTTTTTTTAATGTTTGTTTAGATTTGAGAGAGACAGCTTGAGTGCAGGAGGTGCAGAGAGAAAGAGAGAGAGAGACACAGAATCCGAAGCAGCTCCAGGCTCTGAGCTGTCAGCACAGAGCCCGACACGGGGCTCGAACCCACCGAGATCATGATCTGAGCCGAAGTCGGACGCTTAACCGACTGAGCCCCCGGTGCCCCCTCGGGTTTTGGTTTGGAATGAACAGGGAATGGAGTCATCACTTCTGTCTGCAGAGAACAAGAAGGTCTTCACCAGAGTCCACTCCCGAGCTGTCCCTGCAAGGTGAGCAGGGCTTGGGGGGAGGGGGGAGTCTTCTCTCTAATGAGGGTCCTAGCTCTGGTCCTGTCCTCCACAGGTCACCGCGTTCAGGACGCCAGCCAGGCTCTCCTCAGAACCCTGTAAGGATGAACTGGAGGAAGGTCCGGATTTTTTGTATCTTCCCTTGGTCCTGAGGCCCCAGGGGGCTTGGAAGTCTGACAATCTTCCCATGAATGGACTTGCTCCACCCCACGTCTTCTAGGACCCAAGGAGCCACGCCTGAGCCCCTGTCACTGGCCACGGAGGGCACGTGTGGCCCGTCTTATCTTGGGCACAAGTGGGTGTTGCCGGCTTCCCGGAGCTCCCGAGAGCGGGGCCCAGGCTGCACATCGGGCCTCTCTCCCCAGACACACCGCTGCCCCACGTGTGGACCCCACACCTCTGGCCCACAGGACCGGCCCAGGTCCCAGCAGGAGCAGCAAGCACCCTGCCCTGGCCGCCCCATAACACTCACCGTCCGGGGGAAGGAGACACACCCCAGCCCCCATTCTGCTGCCAACAGCCGGGGAAGCAGCGGGTGAGGGCCAAACCAGCCTGTCTTTTCCTTGTCAAGGAGGAGCTCCAGAAAGCTCCAGAAAGCCCCAGCCAGCACCTACTTTCCACAGTTAGAAACTGTTACTGCCTACAACCGTCTCCCCTTTACCACACGTGATGGTGTCCTTGCACTCGGCCCCCAGGCAGTGAGCAATCCAGATCTGTGTTCCAACATCTGCCCTGGTGGTTGCCGGTTGTGTACGGCTGCGATACACAACAGCGCAGGATTCTGGATGGCTGTACGTGGTCGTGCCTGGCTGTGAGAGTCACATGGTCACATGACTGGAGCACATGGTCGTGCGTGGCTGTGGGCGGCTGTGGGTGGGTGTGCACGGCTGCACGTGGCCACAATGCCGGTGCATGGCTGTGAATGTCCCTAGCAGCCCTTTTCGTGCGAGCCGGGTCCAGCTCACCTGCTCTGGCAGGTGAGCCCCTGGAGCACCACGCTCCTCACGTCGGCCCCGCTGTTTGTGCCACAGACCCTTCTCTGTCACCAGTGCAGCCCAGCAACCCCCAACTTCATGGCTGAAAACAAGGTACTATCACCTCCACGGTGCTGGGCTGGCAGGCGCGGCTGGCGGCCCTCCCTCGGGACCCCCCTTGGCGCCAGCTGGGAAAGGAGGCTGGAGCTGCTGGAAGGCGCCCTCGCGGCTCACCTGGGCCCCGGTGTGGGCCGCGGGACTGCTGGGTCCTCAGACTTGCTGTGGCTCAGCCTGTCCCCTCGCGTCCCGGAAACGTGCTGTGTTACTCAAGTCTCACATGTTCTTCAAAAATTAGTCATATTAGTTCAGAACCCCACAGCCATCGCGAAATACCTCGGGAAGGTGAAGCGGTAGGTGTTGGGGAGTTCCTGCCATGTCAGCAGCAACGGAGGGCTCTTGCACAGGGGTGCAAGGCCTCGTGGGGGGTGCAGGGGCGCGAGGCCTCGGGAGG